TTCCTTAGACAGCCACCAGGTACCATCAATTCCAGCATCCCAACCACTGGGGGATCCATTTCCACCACCTTGCAGCTTTGTCACTGAGACCAACCATGTCTCCTGAGCTCCTGCTGTGTTTCTGGCTCCTTCTCCACACCACAACTAAAGCCACAATGTGACCCATTTTCATCCTCTGAAGGTTCCTCTCTGCCCTGACAACAAAGTCCAAAGTCCTGGGCAGAGACCCCTCCACACAGGCAGATTTGGGGTCTTGACCTCTGTCAGATCCCAGTGCAGAGCCAGGCCATGGGTGGGCATTCAACCAATGTTTGTGCAGCCAAACATTTACTGTGCTACAATTCAGCCTTGTGACATTATAATGTGGAGCCCCTGCCCACAGACATTCTGAGTCTTTTTGAAGACTAGTCATTGGTTAATCAAGCCAGGATCCACTATAACCCCTTAACTGGACTGAATTTGAAATTCCTAACAGTTTTCATATGCTGATGAGCTAAGAATTTTAAACAAGGTTTTTAGAGACATGACAATACATATGTGCATGTGACTAATATCAAACTCCTAAGTGTTCATCAGGTTCATAGTGCAAATCCAGCCATATTTGGGATTGATGTGGACAGGCAGTCAGAAGGACAGGACAGTCTGGGCTTACCAGTGACCCTGGGCAGTTATCTAAGCAGCTTCATGCCCCATGTACAAATGATCTCCTCCATTTCTGGCCTTAGGAGGTCACTGTGAAGAGCAGATGAGCATCGGCTAAAGCATGGGCTGTTCAGACCCAAAAGGGCTGCGCACATGTAAGGGGTCATAGTGGTGATCAGAGAAGGTGGCTTCCCACTGCCTGAGGTCCCCAGAACATTCCTCCCCTGGAAGTGGCTGGGGGCACACGGGGGCTATCTTTGTTGTTCCTATTCTTACCCAAAGGAGGTCTAGGATGTGGAGATAAATAATCCACCCAGATTATCTGCCTGAAGTCATCCTCCCCATAAGCAGAGGCAGGAACAGCACCAGGCCAGATGGTTTTAGAAATCCTTCCGTGGGAGGGATGTTGGATTCCATGGTCTCTGAGGTCCAGTCCAGGGATTCTTTGTGATTCTCTGACTCCATGTCCTTTCCCTTGGCAGAAGTCAGTGTTAAACAACGATAAAGATTCTAGCAGAATTGGGCAATTTCTAGAAAATCCATTTCTGGAAACTCCCGGGAAGCCAAGCCTTCAGGCAGAGGACTTTTCCTTCCCCAAAAATGAAAGGGCAAAATAAAAATAGTACTGTTATTTCATACAAGAGGGCAAATAACCTAACCCCCCCCCCAAGAAGTCACATGACTCTTCCAGCCAGAACTCCAGACCCAAGAGACTGTGTACACCTGAGAAAGGGACGTATCACAGTGTGGTCCTTGCCTGGTGCCCAGCATCATGAACTTTGCCCATTGCCAAAGGCAACATTTTGTGATCGCCTTTCCAGAAGTTGTCTTGGGCCCAGGACCACGGGAGCCAACTGTTTGTCATTTGGTCCTTGCCTTCTGAGTTCAGTCCTGTGAGAGTCACTCACTCACTCACTCACTCACTCACTCACTCACTCACTCACTGACTAACCACTGAGACTTCTCTCTGAGCCTGTGCTAGATGATCAGATAGGGAAATTAATGGGGTACAGCCCTGTTCTCAAGTACTTCACAATTAATGGCAGTGAGGTGGGGGGACCATCAAGTAAGCATAATTATAATGTAATGTGAAAACAGGAGGGCTGGTTCACAGGATATTACGAGATTGTACTAATATTACAGGAGTTGTATAAGAGTCACTCAGCTGGGCTTAGGGGTTTTGGAGAAGGTTCCTTTGGGGAAGAAATGACTGAGCCCGAGTGTACTAGGTAAAGAGGAAGTACAGGCAACAGGGGAGGAGAAGGGCATTTCAAAGGGAACAGAATGAGCAAAGGCCTGGAGGTACTGGGGTGTGGCCAGGACCTGCAGCAGTTCAAATAGTGTAAAACCAGGACTAATGGGCAAGGAGGTGGCACAAGGACCAATCAGGGAGGACCAGAGGCACTGAAGGGAAAAGGGATGATAATGATGCCTTAGTTCAGTGAATATTCAAGTTACCTGTTAGGGGCCAGCCTCACGCTGACTGCTGAATCAGGCTCCCATTCCATCTTGAAAAACCACCTAAAATTCTCTTTCCACCTTGATGCAAAGAAAAGAAGTTCTTCAGGCTTGGGGCCAACACCTGGTATACAGTTGATGCTCAGTCCGTGCTGGTTGTGGCTCCTCCCTGCCAGGGAGTTGTTACTGCCTGTACGATGTTCCCCAAATGTTGCAGCACTCCATTCACAGGAACTGTTATATTTGTGTGGTGAAAAATGGCCCATCCTGCAGCCCACACCTCATTGTTTAAAGCCTTCTGTTCCCTGAGATGGGCCTTTTGATAGAAAGGAAGGCCAATTCTCTGGCTCTTGGCTTTGGAAAGAAAATGACTTTCAGCCCAACTTCGTCCCGTAGCAATTACAGAAAATAAATTGAAATGTAAAGACAGGAGATGGCTAGCAGATGGGGCAAAATTAGGGGCTGCTCAGCTACCAGCACCATGCTCTGTAGGGCAGAGGAGCAGACCCTGCTCCCTGGAGTGTGAAATGACCCCTGCTTTGGAATCAAAATCAGGGGAAGGCAACTGCTGCCTGGAGCCCGGGGGCATGCATGCAGGCACCCATGAGCCCCCACTGGCTCCGGGGGCCTTCATCAGGCATCCAGACCTGCAGATGAGGAGAGCTGGGGCAGGCTGGGGACTCCTGGAAAAGACCTTTGAGAGGTTTAAAAAGAACTTGTTGGTTTTCTGCCTGACTGTAAAAAATATGTGCTCATGCTGGGAAACTTGGCAAACAGACAGCAAGGAGAAAGAAAAAGCAATCTAGCGCTCCGCACCTGGATATTATATTCCTGGTCATCCTCTGTATAAACTTTCCCACTGAAGTGTCAGCGCATGCAGGCAGCCAGGTCCTGTTCCTGGCTGCCCCGTACAGAAGAGGGCAGGGCCCAGGAAGCCACACAGGCCATGTCCCCACTGACCCTAGGCTCCCAGGTCAGTCCTCAGAGACTTCCCCTGACCCCTATCCCCAACCCAGGTACTTACCCCACGTGGATTTCTCCTTTCTGGAACTCTCTTCCATCTGTATTTTGTTTCGTTGTTGGTTGGCTGTTCCCCCACCTCTACCAGGAATCTACCCAAGGCTGGAGTCACCTTAAGGCCCTGCCTCAAGGGCACAGGATCTGTTCCCCTGCAGGGGCTCCGCAGTGATTTGTTATTTAGGGAGTAGCCCATCTTTGGGGGTTTCTAGTATTTCAGTACTATGAACATAGCAAGGATAAATACAGCCCATGTTTAAATGCTGGGAGCCCTGCCCCCTTTTTTTTTTCTCTTAAAATATTCTGTACATAAAGGACTTTGTGTGTGTTCTGAAAAGGTCAGAATACTGAGCTGGAGGTCTCCTTCCCTCATTCACTTGGTAGCCTGAGGAAAATTCCAAGACTCTGGGATCTCACTTTTTCTGTGTTTGTAAAACCAGTAGCTCTGCCTGACGTTTGAATTAATGATCCCCAAACAAGATCCCGGAACTTAGGAGAGTCAGACGCCTATGCTCCACAGGGTACCGGGCAGGCAGGCTGCTCCTCCCTCCTTCCGGAACCTGGGGTCATCCATCTCTGGACAGGAACCCCTGGGAAAGATTTCCAACATCCAAACCCAGGAAAGGGGGTCCTTCTCGCCACGGCCCTGAGTTTAGGCAGAGAACTCCCCCTGACACCATGTTCCACACTCACCGCTCCCCTACCCAGGCCCTCGCAGCCGCGCTCCCGGGAGCAGCCTGCAGGGCGGGTGGGCACGGCCTGGACCCCTTGCCCTGAGCCGGGCTACCTCTCAGAATTGCGGGGACAGGGGACCTGCGGTGGAGGGGTGAAGGTCGGGGTCGTACTCGGGACTGGGGGCGGGGGGAGGCGAGCCCTCCCGGACCAGGCACTGGCACCCGCGGGCTCACCCCCCCGTTTGCGTCACTCGGCCCGCCTCCCACTGAGACATCACAATCTGGGGGCCGAGACCCCGCGCCTCATCATCGCCAGTTTGCTACCAAACAATCCAACCAACAAACACCCCGGGAAAAAAAAAAAAGAAACGGGCCTGAGCTCCCTCCTCCGCCCCGCCCCTCGCCCCCCGGACCCCCGCCCCGCACGGGGGAGTGAGCTCCAGCCGGGCGCCCCGCACCCGCGCCCGCCAGCTGCCCGCCCGCGGCGGGGGCGGCACGACCGCGCGCCCGCCCCGCCCGCGCCCCGCCCGCGCCCGCGCCGCTCCGGCTCCGCGGCGCCCTCGCCGGGTGCGTGCCGCTCGCACGCCCGCCCGCCAGGCTCTCCGGCCCTCGGCCCGCGCCCGGCCCCGGCGCCCCGGCCCAACCGCCCGCGCTTCATGGCTGCGCACGAATGGGACTGGTTCCAACGCGAGGAGCTCATCGGACAGATCAGCGACATCCGCGTCCAGAACCTGCAAGGTAGGGCGCCCCAGCCTCCCCGGAAAGGAGCGCCAGCTCGGGCTGACCCCGGGCGCCCGGGAGCCGCCCCCACCCCGGCAACTCCGGCCCGGGCCGCCCCCTGCCGGGTCCCGGCCCAGCCCCCCCAAACCCCAGCGCTGCCGGCGGGGCCAGTTCACAGTTGTCCAGGGGGTGGGACGGCACACGTGTGTGTCGGTGGTCCTGTTTTATTTGGGGGAATGTCACGACACCCCCTCCAGCCGCAGCTGCGAGTTTGAAGAAGTTTGTAGTGTGGGCTCAGGGGGGCAGTGGTCCAGGTCAGGGAGAGGAAGAGAAAGTGCGGTTACGTGCGTGTGAGTTCGCACACTTCCTAAGTACTCGGAGGCTAGGGGGATTGAATGGGGGGCGGCGCCTCTGGGTGGCTGGGGAGAAGGGGGCCAGGGGCGCGAATCCGTGGGGTCAGACAGGCAGCAGCCAAGACCGGCCCTTTCCCCCGGAATGCCGGGGTCACTGGGGAGGGAGCGAGGGGCCCCTGGGCAGTGGACGCCTGGACCAGAGTCTGTCTTCTTGAGAGGAGGTGAAAGAAACTCCATGGCCAGCGCGTTGGACAAGGGCTCGGGAGTGGCCCTCGCCACCGATGAAGTCCATTTATCTTTCAAGAGCGTCATCAGTGTGGACATTTAGAGAACACAAAAATATTTAAAGGGAAAAAGCCACCCACAATCGCCTCCTAACCGACCCACCCAAAGAAGGCTGCTTTTCCTGGAGGTGTGTTTCCAGTCTGTTTCTTTACATCCGTGGCTTTGCCCACCTGGACAGAGTTCCACTTCCGGCCTCTCTTCACACTCAGAGACCTGGGCAGGGAGGGTTCTTCAGGCTCTTCCCCTGCAGGTTTGGGTCTCTTGGCGATTCCTAGGTTGGGGCGGCTCAGAGAGAAAGAGAGGGCTGGACAGATTGTGATGGGGCTGTGGGTGCCCCCACCCGCAGCAGGTGCTGTGCCTTCCCCGCTGGAGGGCTGGGTGCCCCAGGCACGGGGTGCAGTCTGGGGGTGGCTGAGTGCTCAGGTTTAAACATTACACCTGCGAGAATGTTTCCTGGAGCCCACGTGGCCCTGCTCCACCCCTTGGCTGAGCAAGGACAGTGGAGGCAGAGGTGACCTGAAGTGGTGGGGTTGCCCCGTGCAGTGGACACCAGAAACTGAGTTTGCTGTGGGCTCCCTGATCAGGCTGTGATTTGTGTAAGAGGAGGAGTGGGCTGGAGATGTTGTTGAAAACGATCCCTTTTGATAATAAGCCTTGTGCCTGGATCCTGTTGCCCAGGAGTTGACATCCTATTTTCCTGTTTGGGGGTGGGCATTAGTATCTTCTGCTGAAATGGCTTCTGCTTTGTGCTGTCAGGGCATATGTGTGTATGTGTCTGTGTCTTAGGCAATCAGTGGGTGTTTAATATGTACTAATCAATTCTTTGTGCAACAATTGCCTGCATTCCTTCAGGATCAGCTCCCAATGCAAGGAGATCAACTTTGTGAAGGGATGCTCAACAATATGAGCAGTTACTTATACCTAGAACTGTGAGAGAAGGCTTCAGTGCACGGGAACAATTTGAGATGGGTCATGAGGGTTGGGTCGGAGTTCACTGAATGGGTTTCTCACTCTCAGCTCACAGTGAACTGTCCTTACTTTTAGGCAATGCCAATTAAAAGTTGAGATCAATGGGCTTTGCTGTTTAAAAAAACTTTTAAGTTTATATGTTATTATGTATATCTCTTATGTGTGATCACATATGTATATAAAAGTGCATAAATCTGAAATATAAGCCCCCAAAACTTTTAGGTATGATATACCCATGTAACTACCACCCAGATCAAGATGTAGAAGATTTCCAAAGGGGTCATCTCCCTTCCCAGTCGGTAATTTTTCCCCACCCCCCACCCACACAAGGCAACTACTCTTCTGGTCTTTATTACTGTAGTTTTGCCTCTAGAATTTCATGTAAAAATGAATCATACAGTACATAATCCTTTGAAATGGGCTTTTTTGCTCCACATTATGTTGGTGCAGTTCAGCCCTGTCCTTGCTTATCAGTAGTTCCTATTTTATTTTATTTTTTTAGTTTTATGAAACTATGCTATTATAATTTGTATATCATAAAATTCACCTGTTTTAAGTTTATAATCTAATAATTTTTAGTACATCTAGAGAGTTGTGGAAACATCAAGTTTTGCAACACTTTCATTATTTAGAAAAGATGGCCAGTGCACAACATGTGCGTCAATCTCAGCTCGCAGATACAGACCCAGGCAACACGTAGTTCCTTGTTACTGCTGAGGACTGTCCCGTCATATGAATTCCAAGGTGTCATTGGTGAGGGACATTTAGGTTGTCTGCAGTTCAGGGCTATGCAAATGAAAGAAGCTGTTAGTCCTTGGGGGACCTTAATGCTGAGGAGTTGCTGGCTCCTGGCTTTGCTGCTCTGCCCAGAACCACTGAGAAGAGGTGGGAGAGGAGGTGGGGGTGAGGTAAGAATCAATCTTCTTTCTCCATTTTTTCCTGTGGCTTCCCAGTCTCTTGACCGAATGCTTACAAGATATTTTTTCTCCTTGTCTTTGTGCTACTCAGGGAGTCTCAACCAAAGGGAGTCTCAACCAAGTCCAGAAGGCTCTCCTCGCCATGCTGAGGGCATCTGCCCAAACTGGCTGGTGGGTTTCAGCCAGCCCTGGATGTATCAGGAGGACCAGCTGGTGGGCCACAGGCAGGGGCTCGTTCATCTGAACTTAGTGAGGGTGGTAGGCAAGGGAGGCAGGAGCCATGCAGACAGAAGGGTTGTTTTTAAGCCATGTGCTTAAAGCACAGGTAGTCACAGTTGTCGTGGTGATGGGAGGCTGGGTACAGTGGGATTTCATGAATCTGTAATCCTAGGGACTGAGGAAGATTCTGTGCTTCCATCTGTAGGCGGCAGCTACTGCCTTGGTCAGGTGGCCCTGATTCTTTTCTGAAAGCTTTGACTCTGGTGGCCAGGGCCTTCTGGGGTCATTCATGGGGATATTGCATTTCAGGGGGGAGTGGTTTGGTAGCATACCTGTATCCTTACATCTTTCTATACAGTTAAGGTGACTTGGAGGTATGTTGGCCTCTAAAGGTATGTTGCTCATCTGAAGCCTTTGGCTATGGCCCTGGACTGTGGAATTCTGGAATCCACATCGATATGATTGTGATGTTGCCAGGTCATCCCCACAGAACTTTGCAATGAAGACTTCCTGGCCTGTCTGTGGCCGTTGGGGTGAGCTGGGCAGAGAGCAGGGCCCCTCCCAGGAGGCCTGTCCATCACTCAACCTGCTGTCCTGACATGTGGGCTGAGAAAGTCCATATTCACTTTGATGGGTCCTAAAAGTGTTTGTTAAGTGAAAGACTCTCTGGCAGAGAGCATGGGTGCCCCTCGGGCAAAGGCTGCCTGTGCCACCCTCACAGGGTCCCTTGCAGGGAAATGGGGGTGGCCCAAGCTGTTGACCTTTCTGGAGAGGGGAAAATGGAATTGCAGGATATTGGTGGCCTCCACCTGGTGGTCCTGCTTCTTTGAGGCCATGTGGGGTAGAACTGAGGTTAGAGGCAGCCCGGTTAACAGTCTGTTCCTTACTCAGCCAGTCTGTGGGCAGCCTTGGCTCAGACGCTTTTCCAGTGACATGGGACTTTACCCCACTCCCTCCTTGGCTTGTCCTCAGGGTCCAGCTGAAAGCACCACCAGTTCTGGGGGCAGCTGACGCTTGGTCAAAGGGGTGTCTGGCCAGAATTTGGAAGACACTCCAGTTCTTGTAGGAAGCCTCCAGAACCCCCTAAAATTCACAGCACTTTTCTGTTCAGTTTAGCAAACCTGTGCCAAGCATATAACATCACACAGACAGCCAGGAAGGCAAAGTTGGTTCTTGTCCCTGCCTTAAGGAGTGTGAAGCCACCACGGGCACCCAGCCAGGCTGAAGCTTGGATTTTCTGGCAGCACAGACATCAGCTCAGTTTGGGGCTGTCTCCTGTTGCTCTGGTACCTGTTGGGTCCAATGCCCTGAACCTCTACCTCATTGTTTCAGAGCAGCATGGCTGAGACCTGGCATCCAGAGTTGGGAGGAGACGAAGTTAGGTGAGGCTGGGCAGACACAGGCTGTTCTCAGTGCCACTGTGGGGGAGCCAGGTGGGGCATCCATTGCTGCCATCTGGGCCCTGCTGGGTGGGGTTCCCTAAGCAGCATCCCGTCCCGACCTCAGTGCCCCCCTCAATCAGAATTTGTTGGGAGGCAGCACTGCCAAGGTCAGCAAACAGGAACAGCAATTTGGGACACTTGGAATTGACAGCCAAGCAGAGGCAGTAACAGATCAGCCCATGTGGCAGGCATGTGCCAGGCATGGCACTAGCTGCTGCTTTTGGTGTTTCCCAAACCCGTGGGGTAGGTGCTTCTCTCAGAAGTGGAGAGGTGAAATGACTTGACCAAGGTCGTGGAGTTGCAGGTGGAGCTGAGATTTGAACCCAGGTCAGACTAAGCCCACACATCCCAGCGGGCTTGCTCTGTGAATCATGCGATAGCTCATAGGGAAGGAAGCTGGTAGCCTTGAGTCTGGGAGCTAGAAGGCCTCTCAGAGGAGGGCGTTGGAATGGGACCTTGAGGGTAGAGCAGCAACTTGACCATTGGAACCCTCCATTGCCAGCATAGAAGGAAGGAAAGTCACTGGGTCAGCCTGCACGCTGGCTGGGGGGCAGGATAGGGCCTGCAGGGCTAAAAAGGTCAGCCCTAGCTGTGATACCCACTTCCTCCTCTTATTCCACTGACTCCGGCCCAGACCCTTCTCATGCCTGTAGTGACCTCATTATGGCTCTGGGCCTTGTGTCACCTCCTCCAATCTGCCTACCACCCAACACACATCCCTGCTAATCCCTTCATCAGGTCTCCATGGCCAACCTAGGGGCTCAGGGCGGCTCCTCGGTCCTTGGGGTGAATAGCATCATTGTCCATGATTGCTGGGATGTGAAAAGGTTGGG